AACACCTTAGCCAGACACAAAGGAATTCTTTCTCAACATACTCGACCATTCTACGTAAAATTCTCCCGACTATCTTCGCTACAAAAACAAACTTGGCACTTTTAATTCCATTCAGGTGAAGGTGACGCCATCTGTATCCACGACCTGAGCTCACAATTTCGTACCCCAATACCTGGCGTGTAACCACCTGAATCAACCAAACATCTGGCATCCACTACCTCAACCAACCACCTGGCATCCACTACCTCAACCAACCACCTGGCATCCACTACCTCAACCAACCACCTGGCATCCACTACCTCAACCAACCACCTGGCATCCACTACCTCAACCAACCACCTGGCATCCACTACCTCAACCAACCACCTGGCATCCACTACCTCAACCAACCACCTGGCATCCACTACCTCAACCAACCACCATCCACTACCTCAACCAACCACTGGCATCCACTACCTCAACCAACCACCTGGCATCCACTACCTCAACCAACCACCTGGCATCCACTACCTCAACCAACCATCTGGCATCCACTACCTCAACCAACCATCTGGCATCCACTACCTCAACCAACCATCTGGCATTAGCTATCTTCATCTGTTTGTTGACATTCGCCTGTTGTTGTTGTTGTTTTTAACTCCACTTGTTTACCTTGTTCATTTGGGCGAAATATCTTCTAATCTCTCTCTCTCTCTCTCTCTCTCTCTCTCTCTCTCTCTCTCTCTAACACATTACCACTGATCTCGTGTTAACCAAGATCACCAACGGAGGCAATGTCACGCTCCAATGAAAAACCTTCTTAACCAATTAAAATCCTCGAAATATTTCAACTAATCAAAACCCTGGAATAGTCTAAACAATCAAAAACAAACTTACTTCCACAAGGTAACCAATCAGCTCTCAGGGAAACCAACATGAAAGTCAATCGGCCAAGTAGTTCAGCGGTAATAGTCGGGGGATAGACTAGAGAGAGAGGGGGGGGGGAGCAGCATAGGAGAGAGAGAGGTAGCATAGGAGAGACAGTGAGAGAGAATGAGGCGGACAGGTAACGACACCCGACACCCAACATGAAGGTGACACGCGACTCTTACTATACTGTCGTCATTATCGGGGTTATACAAGACACCGGCACCTCTTGTAACACAGTGAACTAATCTAACCAATGAATTATTTAAATAACATCAAGACTCGAAAGAAGAGGTTCATAATAATAATAATAATAATGAAATTGTCAACAGTAAATTTCAGTTAGGAGCAAACTTTACCTAAACCTGGTTGCATGAGGTATGGGAAAGCTTGTGTAGCTATCAGTGACGCTGTTAGACTGTGGTTCGTATAATGTTTACCGTGTCTAAATAATCGTCCGTTTAATATATACTGTACGCACAATAGTTTTCAAGTTTCGAAAACAAATATTCTAGGACTGCCATTGTCGCATATATTTACACGCATATTGAATACATAAATATAGTGTGTACTTAAGTAGAATGTCCACGTGTGATGTATATGTTATGTGCACGTGTGTATGTGTTCTTATAAGCACGTGTATGTGTTATGTGCACGTGTGTGGTAGGCATGATAGCGTCACAACGCACCCCAACATGCTGTCACACGATCACTTCACACACCCCACCTCCCCCAACCAGCCTCACCCAAACGTATCCTGCTGACAATAACACAACTAAACCTACCACAGACTAAACTTAAATTCTTTAATCATTTACCTAACACAACAACACTTTAGCATAAGGAAACACGTACACCGTCCCCCACCGGTGCAAAAACCAAACACCTTGAAGATTGAGCCAAGGAAGGACGTATTATAATGAAGCTTAGCAAATTGTATTGTTCGGAGTTGACGTTTTAATTTAAGCTTGCTGATAATATTGAGTACGAACAGACATAAGTAAATCAATAGACCCCCAACTGTGTACCATGGTGGGGGCATAATAAGAAACTATTGACACAATCACTAGCTAGTGCATTTAGTCAACGCTAAGTGACGAAGGTTCTATTTAAGTTAAATCCAAACTCGATCAATACCTACAGTACATACGGCAAAGGTAAAGGTTGAATAATTACTAATGATTATGTTGACCAATATCATTACTTATAAGAATACTTCTATTATTATCAGTAGTAGTAGTAATTAGCATGGTCATTACTCCTGCCAAAATTGTGAATATTATTACCAAGACTATTATATTTTTAAGGACATAATAACAAACAAAGTGACCTCATTAAACCACCAGGCAGCCAACCCGAGTAAGACAAGTTCCTGTGGGATATCACTTGAAGGAATGATTCTCTCTAAGACAGTCACACAAGCAGCTGCCCTGGACCGATGCCTTCAATACTCTCCCACAATGACTACTGCAAACACGGTGGTGATGGCCACAACAATGAAACTGGGTTACTCTTTGACGTAAGAGCTGTGTGTGTGAATGAGATACATACATAGATAGATAGAGAGAGAAACAAGTCTCATAGTCCACCTTCGTGCCTGCTGATCCATAATCATATAAGTGTCTCCAAGGACAGCGCCCCGAGACAGGACCTTCCTGGCCAACAGGTGGATCAATTATCCAGGTGGTGCAGACAGGTAGCTAGGTCCTCTACGACCTCTGCACCCACGCACGACCACCACCAAGAAGCTTGGAGTATGACGTTTTGAAGCATCCCAGGCTGTCTTTGCCTTACGTCCACTGTTAGTATCTTTATCCACGTAAGTTACACAAAAGTGGATTCGGATACGGCACATTATAGGTGGAACATCGTTCGTCGGAATAAAGTTCAAAGTACAGAAAAATAAGTTATAACACTGTACCACTATCGCCGACCCAAAATCAGCACACTACCAGTTAAATAAGATGGGCGGGAGAACCATTCCTGCCCAAGAAATATACAACCATTATCATTCCCTGACTTAGGAACAAAAGCGTCCCTCCTCGGAAGAATCAAAAGATTACCGCCACCTTGGACAAAGAACACAGGAACAGCGCCTGCAATTCAAGAGATATTAGACACCATGAAAAATTCCTTTTAAAAGTGACCTTGAGAAAGGGCAGGGAATCCTGTTATTCTGGCTAGGAGGGTCGGGCACACCACCACTCGAATATTTCTTGGCTTAAGCCGCTCACTACACCATAACACACACTTTGCTGGGGTCAAGTAAATAGCTCAAACACTACTTGCTGCCCCTTAACTTCCAAGGTTCTTTACGGCGTCAATCAACAATTAAAATATTTTGTATAACCATCATAGTCTCAGCAGACAACAATACTCAAGATCTAGTTCAATAACAAAAGTGTGGTGCACAACCATTTTATGTAAGTGGTCGACAGTGCATGATCAAATCTGTTATGAAGGCAAGCACTTGGAAAGTGAATGTATTTGTTCCGTTGTCACAGGGTTGACAAAATTAAATATGAGAAATGTATCTTTAAATGTAGGAATGTATATAAAACCGCTATTCAAATCATCACTCAAACTACAAAGGACTAGTTATTTTTAAGATACAGTAGTTACCTCCGTTACTGAAAGACTTGAGGGACGCACAAACACGGCCGGGGTCCGCGCATGGCCCTCACAAACCACGGGCTGTTTAACATTTCTTGACTTGACCTTCATTCATAAGTTTATTTTAATACATAAAGTGTAGTAAAACAAGAAAAAAATATGTGAAAATCATCTAGGAAGCAGGCCACAGGGTTCTAGCTTAATCTAACATATCGATATTAGTGTTGTTTGGTTAGAAATTGCTTCATAAGATCAGTTTTATAAACTTAAATTGGTTTTCGCAGTCGTTTCTTCCATGTTTCACCATCAAATGTGCATTACATGTCATTAAAACAGACAACAGAAGATCCCATCCAAAATACCAAGAAACAAAGTGGCGGAGCGCTTCTCTACTCCACGTTTACTCATTATGTTTCCTTTCCACTTTCGCCTGGTAATCTGTCCTGTTTTCCAATAAAATCATTTTGTTATTTTCTTACTTGACCTTTACCAATACATTCGTGGGTATGTATGGACCAAGAGGGGTCAAAAAACTGTATATAGGTTAGAGGGACAGTGGCGGCGTCAGCAAGTGGCCCTGACTGACTGCTAGTATGAAGGGCCACTCAGCGAGGACACTCGTACCACCGACCAGGTGAGGCACGTTTGTTTACAAGAGTTCATTCATGAACACCAGGTGAAATAAATAGACAGACAGACATATACACACACACACACACACATATATATATATATATATATATATATATATATATATATATATATATATATATATATATATATATATATATATATATATATATATATATATATATATATATATATATATATATATATATATATATATATATATATATATATACTCAAAAGCATGTTAAACAACTTGACTACGTTATATTTACCATTTTACTCGTTACTTTAACCTAAAGCTTCCAACACCCAGCCAAGTTCTAACCTCTTAAAGAAAACACCAATGGTCACGACAAATTCTGACGCAAACTGCAAATGAGGAAATAAGTAAAACCTCGCCACAAACTAGTGTTGGTCTAGCCACACACGAAGCTCAACACCACCCAGAAGTTAATCACGAAAAAACAAAAACATGATTAACTTGTCACTGCTATAGATAAATTATTATTATCAGGTTTATCAATTCCATTCATGGTTTCCGACACTCAGCGAACACTACGCGTACCTACTGCCTCAAACTATCTCAACTTACGTAAATGTTTAGAACGTTTTCATTAACTATTAAAACATCAATAAACACAGAAAAATACTTATAAACACAAGAACAACCAGCTACACTGTTGTCCTATAAACCAAATATAAACAATGAATACCATGTGAAGAAATTGAATACCGATATTGAATTCTTTAAGACCGCACGATAATATTATAGATACATAAACATTGCAGAGGTGAGGGCGTGAGAAGGTTTGTGTCGATAAAGCAATAAGCGTGATGGGGAAGGTACATACCTCCTCGTTGAGTCCCAGCTGCGCCGCCGTGCAGGTCACCAGCAGGGCCACACACAACACTACAGCCTCGGGCTTCTCCACCAACATTTTGACACCAAATTCAAGATTTAAAATCCTTCTACACCTTTAAAGCACACTCTGGAGATGATGTCTATTCACAAATTCACCCAACAACACCTCAGCTCACATCATGAGGGTTAAGAACTAGAGACATCACAGAGACTGAATTTGTTGACACGTGAAAGACAGACAAATATCCCGGAGGCAGAGCGCCACTGCCAAGATCAGAGCGGAGGAGCCACAACCTTCCTTCGCTGAGGCTCACACGGCACTGAAACTCACAGGGTCTGACGGACGGCTGAGCTGAAGCCTGACTGACTCCCCACGCCACACAACCCAACCATCAGTTGGCATTTGGGGAATTTTGCGTTCGGCGCTCCGTAGTACACCGTGACCTTTACGTATCGTTAAACCCTATATTGTTCCGTTGAAGCCTTTTCACCGTAATCATCAGAGATAATTGATAACGGAAAGAGCATAAATCACTCACTTTATATTATCACTCGGGAGAGCTGCCAACAAACGTGAAATAACGCAACTGGCTACTCATCTTTTCGATGGAAAAAATTACCACATTTTTTTTGTTATTGTTCTGGGCGCCAATCTACTTCTCCTAAATATCTATCATATTCTTTAGTGTCATTTCTTACGTCTTTTGAATATTTTATGCATACAGCCTTCCATGTGTGTGTGATAAATTGCCAGTAACAAACCCCTAACCTCTTCCCCAATACAATATATAGCTTTCCTAAGCAGTTACTGTTAGAGCTTCGTTGTTGGGTCATCCCTAGATTCAGAGCTCAGTCCTCTGCAGTCTCTGTATTTAACTCCTAGAGGCCTGTAATCCTAGGTTCTCGCTGTGTATCTTCACTGCATAGCTGATAAACAAATTTTACCAACCAAGGATGAGCCTCAACATTGTTTAGGTTAAAGGTACGGTTACGTCTAAGTAAAACACGAATAAATAACATGACGGCAGGCGAAACAGTTGGAAATTTAACAACCCTTGTAACTATTTTTCTTAACACCGAGACTCTTTTGTCATTCGTTTTGTAGTCTCAACTGACAGGTTAAACCGACATCATAGCCTGTGTTCATTCACTGACAGCTGCAGTACTCCGTTAGATTCACCGTAATTTATCCAAACACATATATAGGCCTACCGACTAGGGTGAGGATTCTTACAAGATTCAGATGATTTATGTTTCTCGTAAGCGGAGATGTAAAAACTAACTAAATATTTTAATGACAACTACGGGAATCAAATTACATATAAAAGATACATAATACACTCGTACCTACTACTACTACTACTTTACTGTCACTCGGAATCATGTATGACGATCATCCAGCTATGATACAATGATATGAGTTATTAAGGATTTCACCTAGGTTGGTGAGTTTTAAGGTGACTAAAGAGGCCGATACGGGACCGGCAGAGTTGTTCACAGATGTTGCACATGTGGATGGATCTAGTGTGGGAGGGGCGGCGGCAGCGTCTTTCCGGCGTTGGCGCTTGTCTGCCTCGGTTTGCAGTCGGGCTAATTCGAAAGATTGACACCTTCTTGTATGGTGTTCCTCCAAGCGTTACGGTGTGGGGTGATCGTATCCCACATGAGGGGGTCGATTTGTCACTTTTTCAGGTTTGTCTTAAGACTATCCTTATACCTTTTCAGTTGCCCGCCAGCGTTACGTTTACTATTCGGTAGATGACTGTAAAGTAGCTGCTTTGGCAGTCTACTGTCTCCATGCGGGTAAGATGGCCAGTCCAACGAAGTTGCTCATGGAAAATGGTAGCCTCGATGCTCCTACATTTGGTGTCAGCGAGAATACTGGCACTTGTTCTCTTGTCTTCCCAGCGAACTCGGAGGACCACGTGCAACTTTGTAGATAATTTCAGCTCCCTACAGCTGAAGACACGGGTACGGAGTCTGCCAAAGGCTTGAGATGCACATCTGATCCAATTTTGAATCTCTTCATCGATGTCCGCTGTGGTGGACAGGTGGGAGCCAAGATGGTGAAGGTGTGGCTGAACCAGGGGCAGGCTGAAAGAGAATTTGAGTCTTACGCACATTCACCTCAAGGCCGAAGTGTGCATACGCATCTGTATAGGTGTTCTGGATCGCCTGTAGGTCGCGTTCAGTGTGAGAGACAAGGGTGACGACTCGTCTGCATACTGAAGTTCAGTAATGGAAGCTGCCGACACCTTTGTTATTACCTGGAGTCGTCTTATTTTGAAAAAAATCCTTCATCCGATACTCTATGTCCGCCCCGCCGGCTAAATTGGCACTGGCACGAGTAAGGAAGGCAGCCAAGAAAATGGAAATGAGTTGGCGCCAGTACACATCCTTGTTTTACCCCCGTTTGGATGGGGAAGAACTCTGACTGGGTGCCATTGTGCAGAACATCCGTTTTTTTTTTTTTTTTTTTTAAGGTGGGGAATGGATGGAAGGCATGCTAGGGCTCAAGGCACAGCCAGACATGGGGAATAGAGAAGTCATAACATATAGTCGTGGGGGGAAAGGTTGGCGATGAATTTTGGTGGGCAGCCAAGCCGGTTGAAGGTCCACCAGAGGGCTTCCCTGTTCACCTTGTCGAAGGCCTTGGTTAGATCGATGAAGGCCATGTACCAGTACCATCAGCTGGAAGACAATTGTAACCAGGAAAACCTAACCCAAGTTACTTATCAACCTTAATTTGGTCTCATAACTGTTAAACTGGTGCTAATTAAAAGAAGCTAGTTAAGGAAATCTCAAAGATAATGCTGATTTATATTTCTTTATATTAATTTTGTGCCTAAGTCAACCAGTTAATCTATTCATCATGTTTGACAATTCCGATTCTGGCCTCAAGTTGGGTTTAGGTTTGGTTGGTTTAGGTTAAGGTTGGTTTTGCTTAATTATGACACGTTATGGCTGCTTCTGTCCCATTCAACCTCCTCGTAATATTTCCTGCAAGAATCATTTACATCCTCATTATCAGCAGCCGCATTTTGTGGTCACTAACTACGTCCTTGTTGCTACCCACTATTTGTCTTGCTGCCTGTACACTCACCCCCGTAAATGTCTGCTCTTTATGTTTATGACTCACACACCCTTACTACCTCACTGCTTAATTTTTTGGCTTTTCTACTTATAAATAGCCATTAAAATACACTTTTCTACGCTCACTAAAGTGGAATTTCGTCAAACTTTAAGTATTTTGGTGTTGATATTAAATCCAGCGAGGAAAGCATCTATTTAGGGAGATTTTGTGTGGTGAGATTTTCTCCATGCATTAGTACAGTATTTGTTACGACCGGCTAGTGAACGCCGTTTTCCAGGCTTCTTGAGACCGGGGTTCTTTATAACACCTCAGACGACGACAAGCATATCCTGGGTCAGATCTGGTTAAACTTAAGTTTGGGGAGGTTTAGTTTTGTTAGATTAAATCACGTTAGGTTCGTCTAGGTTAGTATAGGCTCTGTTAAATTGGTTGGTTTGAGCAGTCTATTAACACATTATGTCACATGCTCCTACTACTACAAAACTCTTATTACAGTGTCTATGTATCGTAGTACGATAATTTAGCACCGTAGAGTAGGGACCAGCTCCCTGATGACGTACTGCAGTTTCTTGATCACCAATCGAATGTCTTCAGGAGTGACATTAACCAGTCGTTCGACGCTATCCTTGGCCAGTAGTTCCACAGTGACCCGCTCACCAATACTGGCCACCTCCTCCTCCCTCACCTGTCATTCACAACGCAACAACAAACAGCTTTTTAATAAAAAAAATCATTTTAGAGTTAACTCCATATAGTGATATACAAAGATAAATGACTATGACAACGACAACATCTGTGACACCCTGATACCAGTTCAGATGGCTAATACCAGAATGCATCGTTCGATTTCATTAATTTTTCCACATATTTTCTTTGGATAAGTAATAAAAACAATATGACAATGCACAGAACATAATATAACCTGACCTGACAACCAAATAAACCTACCTAACCTTACCTATCTTTCTAGCCCCCTATTAAACAGAAAGTACTTGTTTTGATATCTGGTGCAAATTTTTCGTAGTGTTTACGGTAAGTAATTACATTTTTTCACGTTTTGTTTACAACTGACCTGCTTGGTCCAAACGTACTACAATGTCCAGAAAAAAAACGTAAAATTATACGATTACGCTTCAACAAAGCTGCTTTCATTGGTAACAAATATCAAAAAAAGTACTTTCTGTTTAATTTGACAGGGGCGGAGCCCCCCCGCTAGGAAGTTAGGTAAGTTTCTTTGGTTGGTTAGATCAGGTTCTATTAGGTTCTAGTAAATGTCGCTCTTTTAAAATACTTACAACTGTATAATGATAAGTATATCTGTGGAAAAAATTAAATAAATCGAAGTCCACCCGTTTTATTACTTAATATCATCCAAATAATGGTTACTCTTTAGTAGTTGGTGGTACAGAGGTAATGTGCATAACTCACCAAACATCACAGGTTTCCCGAGCCTCGGTTTCCTTCAGTACAGTACTAAAACACTGGATAGAGCGCTGAATTGGCTAGTATTAGCTGATATAAGTGGCGCAAATGATAAAAACAATGTTTTATATAGGGAGAAAGAGAAAAAATTAGTGATCATTTATTCTATAGGAATTCCGTAGGAAATTTATTTTTCGAATACAGTATCTGTATTTTAACCGGTATGACCGTATGACCCTTTGACCCCCCCACAATTACCAAACATATTTGCTGTTCAAAGTGGACAGGGCTTTGAAGTTGAGGGAAAGTGTGGGATTATACTAAAAAAGCGTTAAACACCTTACGTAATCTATAAAAATACTTAAATTAAAAAAAGCTTACTTTGTTTTCAGCTTTTAGTATGTGATGGTGGTATTTTCGGTGTTCAGATGAGGAGACCCACAAACTCAAAGTCAATTCCTAATCTCTTTACAAGTTAGAAATGTTAGGTGAGGTTTTTAAAGGTTTGTTTTGTGTTCCTATAAGTATTTGGTAATTATTGACGACTGACCTGCTGCCGATTTTTCATTGAAACTAATTTAAAAACGCTGCAATTTCAGTTTTAGAGTGGACACTCGTAGTTTAGGCAAATATTTTAAAAATTGGTTATTTCTAACTTGAACCAAACCTAATCTTAGTCGATTAGAAAAACAAGACAGAAGTGTTGTGAGAGGACCTCACCAACCTAACAAGAGAAACCTACCTAATTTTACCTAACTTCGTAGCCGTGAGCTCTACTCTCCGGACCCCCAGGTATATTAAGCAGAAAGAACTTATTATGATATAGTGTAATTTTACGT